CGTTCCACGTGCGTGGCAGTGCCTTTGGGGAATTTGAGGGTGTCTGTTGCGTCGCTTAGTAACGGTTTTTAGGACTCTCAGCTGACTGTACCGGGTAACTCATTATGGAACCCTCCAGAATGAGTTACCCGGGATCCCGAAATGCTCCACCGTGCCAGTTGGCGACTGGATGGGAGAACCCGGTAGCCATTTATCGGGGGGGCTCGGGCGTCCCCGCAGTCTCCAGATGAGTACCCCAAAGGTTGGCTAACTTGAGAGTTACATTGGTCAACTGAATGGCGCCTGAACTATCCAATTTTCCCCATCAACACAGCCAACCAACATGAAAGTTATAAAGAAGAATAAGAATAAACAACGGCGGCACTTCCTCCCGCTGAAAGTGCACCTCACTAACATCCGAGTCTTGCACTCGAGAAGCCGTACCTTTTCTTTTTAACAGAGTCGCAGATAGCAACACCGTTGGACGTGGCGTACCTCTACTACACAGGCTACTCGCTTGAACACAAATTTTTGTGTTGTGTATGTCCGTGACAACATTTACTGTCGGCGTCTCCGTTGCTTTGAGGATAACGGGTTTTCCATTATATGGATTCTGGTGAATACGGGAACGAGAAGAGTCTCTATGCTTGTGTATACAGAATGCACAGCGGTGATCAGAAGACAACCAGACTCTTTGAACATCTGACCGAGATGGCAGATAAAGTCCAACAACGGTACCTCTCAGTGGAGCATATTTTTATCGGGGACTTTAATGCTCACCACAGCGAATGGCTATATCGCAAGTTTGCGATATCGCTAAATCTCACCCAGCTGGTAAATAAAGCAACGCGGGTACCGGATGTAGACGGACATACGGCCAATTGCTTGGACCTGCTGCTGACAACAGATCCACTCGGACACTCGGTATCGATCTCGGCTCCGCTGGGAACGTCCGATCACTGTGTGGTGAAAACCGTGTCGACATACTCTCCCCCAGTTGACTATCCAAGAGGCACAAGAAGATTATGGCGATACGAGTCAGCAGACTGGGATGAGATGCGGCACTTCTTTGCATCTTATCCTTGGAGTCTGCTTTTCCTCGGGTAACCCCTCTTGCTCTGCTGATGCGGTTGCGGATATGATCCGGCAGGGAATGGAGTGCTTTATTCCATTCTCCGAAATTCCGCACGGTCACAAAACCCGACCAAGGTTTAATGCGAATTGTGCCCGTGCTGAGGCCCGCAAGGAATCCACTTACCAAACGCGGGTACAAGCTCGCGGCCGCAATATTCGAGCAAGGAGGGTTCGCGCGACAAAGAAAACTTTTAACTCTGCCGCCAAGATCTGCAAACGGGTTTTCCGAAAGGCAAGATTCGACCATATAAGCAAGATTGGGAGCAGACTTGCGTCTTGCGTTCTACCCTCCTGGTACGAAGCAGTTCTGATCCCTATCCAAAGCAGGTGAACCCAATTTCTGCCGTCCCACCTATCTATGTCCCAAATATCAAGATAGTAAAACATCGTGCGTGATAGTCAATAAACTTCATATTACAGTCGTTAAAGTGACATCTCTAGTCAGCCGCTAGTAGGTGTAAAGGTAAGGAAGTAATTTCTTGCAGATAGTGCTACGGCAAAAAGTCGTTAAAAAAAGAAAAACGAAGATCTGCAACAAGCACATAGAAAAATTCGTTGGTTCTGCTGGTTCGTTCCGTAGCTTACTTGGGAGAGCGTCGGCCTGGTATGCTGAAGACGATGGTTCGAATACAACCGGATCCCATGATTTTTTCTGAATGTGAAGTAAGTACATCTGTGTTTCCCCAAAAGTACAATTTGGGACTATTCAAGGCTAGAATTAATTGGTATTTTTAGGCAATATCACCGTCGGTCGCATCGTCGCTTAACATCCGGTGAAATAGTGGCCAAGCATATGAAATAATGGCCAAGTTTGCTGTTATTTATAAAAAAAAGAAAATAATTTTCGTAAACCCACACTCAATAAAGTTGATCACCGCATGTTTGGAGCAATAATTTGAAATTATGAACCTCATTTAGGTGGAACGATACTTATACACAAACGGCTTAAGTTAATTGCGTTACCAATGTAGAACAATAAAATTTATGAGCAAATGATCGTTTTGTACGTAAATACCTTTGGTAAAATGTACACGCGATCTACAGACCCTTGGCTTTAATGCCAGTTCGTTGGAATATCTTCTCAAATATCTCATATATTTGAATACATACGATGATGAGGATCCTTGAGATCAGTTTTCATAATAGATAACGAAGAAGTATGGCGAGTACATTTGACAGATTGCACATCCACGTGCCACTAAACTCGTACTAAGTAATACATAATGTACGTCTTCGTACAGTTTATGATAAAAAGTCGTACTTAGGTTTGGGGTGCACGAAAGGAACCTTGGGCAACAATCGGCGAGTATCTTACGCCGATTGGTAAATCCTTTCACCACGATAGCAAGCGTTTACTGTGCCTCGTTACGATGAGAAGAAACCATAGTTGAAGCCTTCAGTCATAATTACAAATAGATCGAGAATAAATAAACGTAGATATCCAAAGGGGAAACCATATGATTGATCAGTTTCAGACCAACTGTATTCCACGATTGATTCAGTCTAAACGAAACTAAAGGCGTCATGCAAGGCGTGCTACTAAGCCCAATGTTATATACTGTATACGACGTCATGAATGTATCTAATAATAATCTCATTAATTTATTCATAACTTTTGCTATTTAAAAGGGAGTTGCCAGCCTCGTGTGCACGATGCCTAAGGGTGCGGCCCTAGATAAATAAGAGTTATAAATAGTTTCTGTTCCATTTAGATTTTTCTTCTACATACTACTTACTATATTATTAATTTTGCTCTTATTGAGGTGCTTGAGTGGAGACCACGGCTCAGCAAACGCAGTGTAGGAGCCAACGTATTTGTAAGCACGATCTTCCTACAACGATTTATCGTTGCAAACTACGGCGGAATATATATTTTTGTTTATAATATCAAGCGACACAGCTGTCCATAACAGTCACAGAGCTTTAAAAGAACTGAGGGACTCTGAGACATGAAGACATGAAGTTGACAAGTCACTTAGAAATATACATGGTAGCTGTACTTCCTTAGACGAACTCTTTGACGAGGTGCTCTACTGCTTCTTAGATATTATCTTTTCCATACCAGATTTGTAATATGCCATCCATGCTTGATTGATTCTCAGCACCAAAGTCCCATCAACATTATTACACAAATTAATTGTGTTTTCACACATTTGACAGTGGAGTTGAAAAAGTTTTCACACAATTTGTTTCATTTTCTTTCTTATTATGGGTAGGAAAGATAAATAATTATCAACTCAGATCTACAACATTCAAAATATCATGTATTCTTTTGAACATAATTAATAAACCTACTACACAAGGAGAACTGCTTATAACTTCTTCTAAAGTCCTATATTACAGGATCTAAAACTAAATCTCGAATCAAAATTGGTTTAACTCTTAATATTCCCCTCATGTCATCAGATCACCCATGTACCGACCAGCTAATGGATGATTACTCCTTACCATGCATTAGAGCTAGTGTATCGAATACGTGACCGAACTGTCGGATGCGATATGTAGTAAAGTTGAAACTGTCTCCTGTACTAGGACAGGTATTACGTGACATAGATTAGAAGCTACAAATTGCCCTTTAAGAGGATTGCCCCATAAGAAGTTGGAGATCAATGACGTCAGCAGTTCCTAAACCGTGTTCAATAATACTGAGAGTCTCATCATTATCATCAACCAGTTACACTTATCAGTGGTACTGGTTTCTTTTGTGGAGAAAGTTTAGGGTATATTATGTGCCACTCTGCTGTCTTAATTCTGATTGGGGATTTCACACGTTTTTCAAAGGTGAAGTTTTTTTAAAAAAAACAAAGTCACGCGAAGACCCATCACGCGCCGAGCCAACTTGATTATTTATAACCTACATCTTCTTTTTAGAAGTGACCAGTGTTCAGAAGTGATATGCACTTATATATGGTTTGATACAGTTACATACAGTAATAACAACTTTTTTATAAAAGAAACCGACCATAAAAGTTCGTGGAAATTTTATTGAGATCCCAAGTTTTATTGAAATCGGTCACCGGAAAGTGCGTGAAACCGGATTCATGCGCTTGTTTGCTACCCGTAGAGCTGGAATATATTTTTCAAATTTAAATACTGAGTACTGACTGAGAGGAACCAATACTGAGTTACCCTCTTTCCAATAAAAAAATAATCATCAAAATCGGTTCACAAATGACGGAGTAATTGCCTAACATACATACAAAAAAAAAATATAGTCCAATTGATAACCTCCTCCTATTTTGAAGCCGGTTAAAAAAGTAATCGGTTTTTACGCAAATTAATCTAAACTTATATTATAAATGCAAAAGTAACTCTGTCGGTTACGTTTTCACATCTAAAGCGCTGAACCAATTTTGATGAATTTACGTATAGAGGTAGATGAGACCTAGGAGGTTTTTTATTTATCATAAGGCTTCTTTTTGTCATAAAAATAAATCTCAAAGGCGGCGATCTGTATGGAGAACCAATAAAACTAAAGCTAATCAAAGTACTTATTCAACTAGGCGAAGTCGCGAGCACCAGCTAGTACAAAATAAATTTAATTTAATTAACTTAATCACAGAATCTGTAATGTTATTACACTTAAATCTAACAATGAAGACTTTTAAAAAATATACCGCGTTATAGTAATTACACATAATCATGATCCACACAATTAAGCGTGAAACCATAGAGAGCGGGTGCGGGCGTGTGCGTCCCGCCGCCCGTGCTCCCGACCCGGCACGCACCCACTCACTGTGTGTTGCACGTTTTACGCATTAGCATAATAAACAACGTATAATCATAAATAATGTATTTACCGAAGTTCTAAATATTACGAAACATTCTTTCAGCCCATACAGAACATATCGCTAAATCTAATAATATGTCTGATGTCCTGCTTAAAGGTCAACACACATTCTGGGTCAATCAACGGAATGTGACCGCAAATATCCCGGGGAACGTCAGCAGAATTGGAAAATCCAGGAAATATCTTAAGATCCGCAAAATGTCCCGACATCAGTTTCCGACCGACTCCTAACTCGAGAATGCTACTGCTATCGATTATCTTTATATGCACATCAGTATTCTTGTTATATCCAGTGTTACTTTTGCTTGTCGGACATTTTATGTTATAGATACTTCTATACTAAGCTACGAAATGTACCACTTACGAATTTTAAACTATGTACTTTGGAATAAAAATTTAATACTTAAGATTTATTGTATATAGTGTGTTTTTTTACCTGGGATAGTATGGGGTAATCCGAAACCATAGGAGATATAAGGAACCTGTCTTAGGGATCATTGTCCTTTTTTATAAAAACAATTTTGGCATAGTAAATTTTTTGGTGAAGCGTGAGTTTTACATAAAAAATTTCATTTTTAGTTTTTCAGCCATTTACTGTCCCACTGCAGGGTAAAGGCCTCCCTTCCCTTCCATAAAAATTGTATTGATAATTTTTTAAGACTCAGTTTTGATGTAAGGATCATTTCATTGTATTGGAAGGAAAAAATCGGGTCTGCAGAAATTGGTCAAATTTAACAAAATTTTTTTCATGCAAAATAATTCAAATGAATATTTTGTCTTCGATGCTGTTTGTTTTTGAGTTTTTTTATTAAAATAGACCTACTTCTAGTCCCGTTTTTTTTCTTTCAGTTCAATAAAATAGCCGTTACATGAAACTGAGTCGATCAGCATTAAAAAAAACTATCCATTTTTATGGACAATCAAGCTTCACCGAAAAATTTACTATGACCAAATTGTTTTCACAAAAAAAGACTTAATGATTCATAAGACAGTTTCCTTGTATCTCCTATGGTTTCGGATTTCCCCATAATGACCCAGTTAAAGTACACGCTGTATAAGCTCATCCTCGGTCGATAAAACTATAGTAGTGTTGTTAAATGAAATAAAAATGGCAACCTCGAAATTTTGTTATTCATTCTTCTCATTACCAATGAGAACGCGATGTTTTGAAGTGTTAATTATCTTTCCCATGAAATAAAGATATTTTTTAATGTTAATTTATATTTTCGTAAACTGTCGTTTGATTTATCAACAATTTGTGGAATACTCTAGTGTTCTCGCAATCATCTACAATGGATAATTGATGCCATTTTGTAAAACAGATACCACAATTGTTATCGCCATTCTGTGAAAATGGTCAGAAGGGGTATCTGACAACCAATGCCTGAATGCAGTTTCCTTTTAATTTGTGTCGGGCGTTGTGGTTTTATTTCGATTCGATTTTGTTGCTTTTGAAAATAAGGTTTTCAGTTGTTTTTTGTTGTTGTTACTCAAATGGGTATGTATTTGTTAATTTTTAGTGTATTTTATGTCCATTACGTGCTATGGCAGAATATCAGCTAGGTATGTACTCCATAGCCCTTTGTGTTTGAGTTGTAAACCTTTTTGACGTTTGTGTGATTATTAATTTGTATTTTCTTCTTTATATTGTATTGCTTAACAAATAAACTACACACGTCAAAAGTGTCTAAGAATGAAGGCATTTTTTTTAAATATTTGATTACCCTATTAAAGTCAAATAAAGATATCGATGTGAATTTATTAAATAATTTAGTTATTTGTTAAACATATGAAACTGATTAAAAACAAAGATTTAAAAAAAACATTAAAATAACCTGATTTTTCAGTAATGCTTGATCCCTAGACACTTTTGTTGAGTGATTTTGATAGTTTAAACAACCAATCAGAGGTCTTTATGTTACTCTGCATTATTCTTCTTACACAATAGGTTTTATTTTGAACTACTCGTAATTCCCAAAATCATCAATCGCATTGATGAAGTTGGAGTAATTGGATAAGTAATTCCCTGCAGAACATGAATTACGCATAAATGAAATTCAGTTCCATTTTCAATCGAATGTGGGACTAATATTAATTTCCCTTTGAGTGTCTCTATACTCGACTTTGTACTTGGTAACTTGTCGATAAGTTATGCCTTTGGGGCCGTCTGTCTTAGCTTTTATACTAAATATAGTTAGAACCGAGTTTCGTACATCAAAGGTTAGCCGAACTTTGTTCCTGACAATATTGCAGCTGTTATTAAATTTTCCTACACGGATTAGTTAGCAAAAAGCTCAACTTTTGGACGGACGTTCTATACACCCTGTACGCCTGTATGTACCGAGGATTACTTAAAGTGAATAGGAAATTAATTTGTTTCACGTCGTTATAAAGATTATACGAAAGTACTAAAAGTGTTTTCTTTTTACATAAACACCTTTTCCCATTAGAGTCAACTGAAACCACAGCTTCCACTTGCTACCGTCCTGACATATATATTTCGCCTTATCGTCATCATCAATCCCTTTGTACGTCCCACTGCTGGGCCCGGGTCTCCTCTCAGGTGAGGGTTTGGGTCCGCCATGCTGACCCAATGCGGGTTGGGGACTTCACTCGTTTTCCGAGGGTTGTGAACCTTCTTCAACGTGCAGGTTTCATCACCATGTTTTCCTTCACCGAAATACTCATGGTGAATTCCAAATTAAATTTATTTATTTATTTAAAATGCAAGTCACTACAATACACGTTCCATTAGGTAAGTAGGTATTGCTGTGACACCCCGCAGGGGTATGACACTTATACTCTAGCCAAATTCGATGTAGAATGTTTAATAATAAAAGATTGCTAGGCGACCAATGATGGCATACAAAAACAACATTTTTTTCAATGCTCATTATTAATGCATGCTCTGTCCACGGCCTGCTCCTTTAATTGGAATTTAAATAGGTAAGTAGGTAATTGGGTTATGTAGAAGTAATGCTTACCTCACCAATTATCATAAAGTTTACAAACTACCTATTGACATATGATTTATAAATAAAAATTAGATGGTAGGTAATGGTAATTGAAAAGAAACAAAATGGTAAGATTTATTTTTAGATATTAATTTTCCACATATTGTATCATCCTGCATATATCTCCGATTCTGAACTTGAATTACCACTAGAACTCGAATGTTTACAATCTCTCTCTTCAAATCTAAAAGTCACTAGGGATGACACAGTTTTACAAATAATTAATTACTGGTCATTTTTATGTAATTTTTAAGTGATTTCAAACTTCCGTTGAACAATATTCATTATAAACATGACTTCAAGATATAGTAACTGTGAAGGAGTCCGAGATGACAATCCTAAAAATCATGTTTTTGTTTGTTGACATTTATTCTACATCGAATTTGGTTAGAGTATAGTTGCTACTTTTTGGCGTATATACATTATTTCACACATTGCAAAATATAATAATAAAAATACAATATAGATTGAAATAACATGTCGATTATCCATTACGAGTCTTCGTCAAATCCACAAAATAACATAACAACATAATTTAACCAAATAACTATACAAGTTTGTCAATATGAAATTAATTTAAGTTATAATAGCACTTGCCGATTAATAACACTTTTATTTTTTTTAGTCAATTTTCTGTAATTTGTCTCACATCTTAGAAATTCGGGTAGTTTATTGTGAATTTTTATTGCATTATAATACGGACTATTCTGATAGATGCTTAATGTACTTTATAATAACGCACACACTCAACATAGCCCCGCACTAGGGAAACCCTGTGTCGCGGGTGCCATGGACACACACATAGACAACCACAAATTACACCCAAACTCACGAGAGAAATAAATGTAGGTCATACAAATATTTCTCCCGGCCCGGGAATCGAACCTGGGGCCTCTGCGTGGCAGTCCGACGTGGTAACCGTTCGGCCACGGATGCAGTTTGCACTTTGCGGAAGGCGACGGTCTTATAGAAGTGGGTACAGTACTAATGAATAGTTCACTGTTTTTTCTAATAAATTTAACCATTTCAAATGTGTACATAGAAGGTAGGGTTAATATTTATAATTTTTTAAAATGTAGTCGACACGATTCCATCTGTTTGATATTCGTGATGATACGTACACATTTTTTCTGTGGAATAAAGAGATCATTCACCAGAGTTTTGTTTCCTCATAAAATCAAGCCGTAATTTAACCCATAGCTTCTGCTTGAGCGGCGGTAGGTCAAACCAATATGCTACCACGGTTTTTCTCGTGTCGTCAACATGCGTATTAGAGATGCGCCGAGTATAAGTTTTACCGCGTAACCGAGTACCGAATATTACTCGGTTCATGCAACCTAGAATTAGACCGACATGTCAATGAAAGTTTATTGTCGCGAGAGCAGAGTCCTTTCTAATGGTGGGCAGGGCATAAAAGAAGATTATCCAAAAGTGACACAGTTCGCACGAGTGTTTTTATGCGCACCTGCAAGGATTATGTATAGCGAGCGGTTATTTTCCGACGCGGGTAATGTGTATGAAGAAAAAATGTACAGACTATTACCTTACCTATTATTAGTGCCTGAACGCGCAGAAAGCCTTGCATTCCTACATCAAAACTTGCCTTTGTTAAATTTTGAATATTAATAATGTAATCTTTCTTTTTAAATTGCTAAATTGCTACAAATTGTTACAATTGTCTAGAATATGTAAAATAAATCTCTTTTGATTATTTTAAACATATTGTTGGTTTTACTTTATTATGTCTATAGCTATAATGCTTTATTTTAACCGACTAACTCTTCTCATGAACCGTGTTATTCGGCCGAGTACGAGTAGAAAAAAGACGGCCGAGTACACCGAGTACCGAGTACCAAACAAGCACTCGGCGCATCTCTAATGCGTATGCATCAATGCTTTCATACACTCTCTTCAGTTAAGGGTACGCTTGACCTGGTCGTCTTAGGACGTCCTCAATTTGATCATAGTATGCTTTGGTCGGCCAGCCTATAAATCTGCTTCATCTACTTATTTCATCGAGCTACCTCAGCATATTTTTTGACTATCACTATATCTTCCTCCACTAATGCTCTCTTTTTTACACGCAAGTGCTTTCATCCAGTTCTTACATTTTCATGATTACGA